AATTATTTCCTGAATGTATTTTGTCAAAACATAGGCCATGTTTGTTTCACTTGTTTAGTTCAGTTCAACTTAGTTTGAACAATGAGCCTAATTTGAACCGACATTTAGTAAACATGCAGTTTGAATTACATTCCCCGTTTAAATTAGGTTAAAGGGCCCACAGAGTTTAGCTCTCCTCTTAAGTTTAACCATTCAAACATTTTTTTAACAGTAAAAAGTGCTCACTCTTTCTGTTTTTCACACCTGTCAAACACAAATTCAAATTTTATTCGCTATTTAAAATAAAACGTTAACTATACATCCAAACATCAATTCAAACTACACTTTAAACCATACAGTTTGAATTTTTTTGTTTAAATTAAAAAGCTCAGACCAATAAAATTCAAACTAGCGAACGAACGAAACGAGGGCATAATTATTCCTGATTTTGCTGAATAAAAATATGTTAAAAAGTGATACCACATAAAGTAATCTATCAAATGCCTGATTATAATCTGTTTGATTATTATCAATTTTCTTGCAGGCCAAGACAACAAATGATGACATATTCCAAGTTTATGATCAGAATAACAAGAAATGGGCAGTAAACATGAAGGACATGATGTGCACGTGCCATCAATTTGAGCAAGATAAGCTACCGTGTGGACATGCTTTCAAAACTAAAATTTCAACAAAACACATATGCCAAAAGAGTTGTCATTCCATTAACTATTGTCATAATATCTCTAGAATAAGTTCTAATAGTTAAACTACTTATAATTAACATAAAAATATCAAAGATGAAAGCTTAAAATCCAACAAGTAAACTAGTTGTCAAAGTCTTCTATATGAATAATATTCTCAGGATTTTCCATCATATGCATTTTTGGCGGCTTGTCTCCCATGTTATCATCACTATCATATTCGTATTTAATATTGCGAAATCCATGGTTGAAGAGCTCAACTGCCATTTTTTGTCGGAAAAATATAATGGGAATCTCCTCCAAACAAGTGAACGGGGTGGGGTGTCTTCCATTAAGCATTCTGTATACTTGACGATATACATCCCACAATCTCCACTATAAACAACAAAAACATAAATGAAAAAAAAATTAGATGCACAAAATATAAATTGAAAGTGAGTAAAATAAAATTTTATAAAAAAAACCATAAAAATAACATTCAATTAAGTAACTAACCCGTTATCTTGTTGCGGTGGATCGCCAAATAGAATCTCAAGAGGGTCAACATTAATTGGAAAATTGACTTAAATTACATATATGCTCAGCAGGAGATTAGAAAATGGATGTCTACAAGTTCTCATATTTGTATATAAATCTGTAAAATAAACTGTAATGACATTTTTATCTTTTATTAACCATCTATAACCACCCATACAAAAAGAATATATTTAGAATAATATTATCTCAATAACCATAAAATAAACATATTAACAATAGTATTAAATTGAAGACATATTCTTAAAACTAATCATTTTGTAATACTTCTATAAAATTTTCTCCAAAGGGAAAATACATGATATAACATATTTTATAAGTACTTTTGAAGCATATAGCATAATATATCAAACTTAGTAAATTATAGCCTATCATTAATTTTAAATAGTTTGGGGTTGTTCTTTTGCAACAAAACTCAAAAAAAGTTTGAACTCAAGTTACAACTTTATTCATGTTCATGTTATTTTGTAAAATTTGAGTTTGAACTTGAGTTTGAGGCTAAACTTGAGTAAGTTTCCTCTTCAACTCGAGTTCATAAACTCGAACTCAAATTAATGAACAATATTTTTTCTATTCTTAAAAATGCAATAACTTTTTCGTTTAATTCTGATTGAGATGATTTTTTTTTCTATGCATTCACAACAAAAAGACGAATAAAACATCACTCCCCTATTAAAATTTTTCATCACCATTGAGTTTTTATTAAAATACTATCTAAATACAAATTTAAGTTTTGACCCACCCAAACACAAACTCAAAAAGATTCTCAATTCAAATCATAACTCAAATGTGCACATCCAAATACAAAATCAAGTTACAATTTCAACTCAAGTTATAACTCAAACTCAACTCAAGATCATCACTCAAGTCACCCTAACTCAAAAATGCAAAAGAACCCCTTTGTTTTCCAAATTCACCCTTAAGATTTTTTTCTCTTTCTTTTTTCTCTTCTCATTTTCTCTCTCCCTATCTCGCGACTTCTCTCTCTCTCTCTCTCTCTCTCTCTCTCTCTCTCTCTCTCTCTCTCTCTCTCTCTCTCTCATCCCCTTCCCCTCCGCGACTATCTCTCCTCTCCATGACTCTTTCTCCTTAGTCCCCTTCGCTCGGCTCTCTCTCCACCACGACCTTCACAACAACAAAAAAGCTTATTTGTGACGACGTAATGTCATCGCAAATAATAATATTGACGTCAGAAATATTATATTTGCGACAACATTTCGTCGCAAATTAGTCATCGCAAACAATTAGACGTAAATAATATATTTGCAATGATATAGTTTTGAGATGTCATCACTAATACATTAGCGACGACGATCGTCACAAATAAGTCGTCACGAATGTTCCGTCGAACATGTCGTTGATGATGATGTGTCCTAACTTATTTGCGATGACATATGTCGTCGCAAAAGTTTTTAAAACCTTTTGCGGCCATAGGCTTCAAAGTGTTGTCGCTAGTAATGTGGACTATTTGCGACGACATTTTAGATTAGTAGTCACAAAAAATGTTTTTCTTACCATACTTTCCTAATAATATTAATTATTAAATATATAAATTAGAAGAAAATTTAACAATAAAATTGATATTTATTAATAAAAGATTAATATAAAATAGTCAACACAATAATAAAATAAGTCTTAAAAAGTAAATTAGTCAAGAAATACTAAAAAGTATTGATAATAAGAAAAACAAAAACAGATATTTCGATGTCCTAAATTAATAGAATTGTCGTCTGCATCCTCGCCTTCTCCGTTTCGCTTAGGCGGCAGAGGAACCAACGGTTGGGAACGGTTAACTGGCAAGAAGTTGATGTTAGGATTCATTGAGCGCATGACTTCGATCATGATCTACTAGTTGTCGAACATGTTGCATTGCTCGACGTAGAGGTTGTTCAACCAGTTTTGGACATGCTGGGGCAAATTAACCGAAGACGATGTGTCCAATTGTGAAGCAGATGATGAGGTGGAAGCGCTTGAACCAAAGATCTCTCTCTACTCCGCGACCCTTTCTCCTCTGCGACTCTCTACTCCTCCGCCGTCATATTTCTCAAATGTTGATGTACTCTGATAGCGATCATCATCAGATCTAGCGAGCGCCGTGGCTGAGATCGAATATGTTACAAACTCCATTTGTTTGAGAACGCAAACCATACTGATCGTAAACAGATCCAGTTAGACTGATTTTGCAAAACATTGTTGGAGAAGAAGATCGAAGCCATGTTCGATGCGTCATCGTGAACAAATCTAGACAGCAATCACACTTGCGAAATAACCCTCATTCGCTTCTTGAAATTTCTGCCCGGGAAGGAATAGCACAGATCGGGCGAACGCCGATCTGATGCTTGTCGTTAATCTGAAATGTGATTTTTATATTTTTTTCTTATTTTTGTGATTCTGAGATATGAGTTTTTTTTTTTGGAATTTTTTTTGTGATTTTGTAGTTTCTGATATTTGAGGCTTTGATGGTTTTATTTGTAAAATGAGATCTGTGATTTTTTGTAACTTGATAAATATTGTATTTACCAGTAAATGCTTCATTGAATCCAATTCTCAATCTGGTAAATACTATATTTATTAGTGAATATAATATTTATTGGTAAATATAATATTTACTAGTCACCGGAGTCGGCCGCTGAAGTTTTCAAAGAAATATGGTATTTATCGATAAATATGGTATTTACTAGTTGCCGGAGTTTGTCGCTGAATTTTTGAATAAAAATTGTATATATGGTATTTACCTTTAAATACAATGTTAAACAATCATCGGAGTCGGTGGTCAGATTTTCATATAAATATGATATTTACTAGTAAATACAGTATTTATCAGTAAATACAGTGTTAAAAGGTCACCAAAGTCGGTGGTCAAATTTTTAGATAAATATAATATTTACTGGTAAATACAGTATTTACTGATAAAAAACAGTATTTACTGGTAAATACGGTATTTATTAGTAAATACAGTGTTAAACGGTCGCCAAAATCGATGTCTGAATTTTTGGATAAATGTGATATTTACTAATAAATACAATATTTACTGGTAAATACAATGTTAAATGGTCACCAGAGTCAATGGCCGGATTTTTAGATAAATATGATATTTACTAGTAAATACGGTATTTATTGGTAAATACAATATTTACCAGTAAATATAGCGTTAAACGATCGTCGGAGTCGGTGGTCAATTTTTTAGGTAAATATGGCATTAAATGCTAAAATACGGTATTTACCAGTAAATACAGTGTTAAACGGTCACAAGTTGCTAAAAATGGTCTACGATCACATGGTGGACTTGACTATAATCTACCTATTTTAAAAAAATATGCTATAACTTACTATTTTTTTTTAAAAAAAAATAGATGTTTAAGGGGAGGAGTGAGGTGGAAAATGAGGTTTATGGGTATTTTTAGGTTTTTAATAATGTTTAAAATTTAAAATATCAAATTATGCTATAATTTACTATGTTAAAAATAATATGTTATAATTTACCAATTACTTTATCAATTATGCTATTTACTTCTTTATCCCAATTTTTATCATGTTTGAATAAATATAAATATCTAAATTTTTATAAATATCTTTTTATTATTAGTGTAATTATTTAATTAAAAATTATAAATTAAAAATAAAAAATAAAAATCTTTCTATATAAAGAAATATTTATCAAGATTGGCCTCGATTTAAGTCCGAAGGAAGCCCAAAAGTCAAGGGATGGCACAGGCACCCGAGTCGGTGTGAGATATGGGCTTAGAACGAATCAGGCCCATTCATATTGGTTGAAAGCTCCGCGTTCTGTTTCTACTATTCTCTTCATCAGGCGGAGAGAGGGACAAATAGATATAGGGTTAGGGTTTTAGAATTTTCGGATTCTCGTTTTCGATTAAGGTGACGACAATGGAAGAAATCACGGAGGGAGTGAACGCCATTAACATTGGATCAGGTGATACCTACAAGAAGAACCGGATTCAAGTCTCCAACACCAAAAAGCCCTTGTTTTTCTACGTCAATCTCGCCAAGGTAACGCTTCTCTCTCTCTCTCTCTCCCTCTCTCTCTATATATATATATGTATGTAATATATATATATAGACACACACACACACATTCATTTAGTTCTTTCTTTTGACTGATTTATATGAAATTGGTATGTGCAGAGGTATATGCAACAACACAATGAGGTTGAGCTTTCTGCTCTTGGAATGGGTAATTTTCTTACTTTTATTCTCTTTTATTATAATCACCTCTTGTGATTTATTTTTGTTAGAATAAATCAGTTAAAAGTTTGTTGTTTTATCCAATTGAGACATAAGTTGCTTCGTGTAATCTTCATAGAACCAGATTTTCATTTAAAAAATAAAATGAAATTTTCATAGAGCCAGGGTTGGGATCTTTTTGATGCTTAATATGAATATAGTGCTTTGGTTTTAGGTAGTTCTTTATTTATTTTTTTTCCTTAGGACCAGTTATTTTTACCCTTCTGGGTCAATTCTGTTTCTCTAGGAATATTGTTTAAATGAAACTGTTGTTGCTTTTTCTTAATCATTACTAGCTTTCTTCAAGCTTGAATTATATGGAGCATATGTGATACGTCTTCTTTTTCTCGGTTTTCTTTTCTATAAAATATAAAAACCATGGAGGCTAATTCGGTGATGTGTTTGTTATCTTTGCACTTTTGCAGCTATTGCCACGGTTGTCACTGTTGCTGAAATTCTGAAAAATAATGGATTAGCTGTTGAGAAAAGTGAGCTTTTTTTTTGGGCTGCTTCTATCTCTTTTTCCTTATTGAACTGACGGCTATTGATCCTAAAAGATGTTAACTGCAATTTTTTTTCCCCCAGAGATAATGACCTCAACTGTTGACATGAAAGATGACTCAAGAGGTCGACCAATCCAAAAGGCTAAGGTAATTGATGATGCAATGTGAATATATTTCATTCATTTCATACATCATACAGTCGACCATGCGGTTTCATGGTTAAATGTTGGGAATTATTAAAAATTTCTTTGTTATTGAATGATGATTGTATACATTTTCCTCTCTTTGTTGCATCATATTGGGGTTTTGTAACATAGTCTGAAAAAATGTAGAATCAGTAGCTAATTTTGCTAGTCTCTACGTGTATGTAATGGTGTTGTCTATGTGTTAACTAATTTTTTCATATTGATATGTTATAGACAGGTTGTGTCCTGCTTCTTTTCTCAACATTATTTATAACATTTGACCTCTTATGATACATTGGTGTTGATTTATTTCACCCGCAGATTGAGATAGTGTTGGGAAAGACTGAAAATTTCGACGAGCTGATGGCGGCTGCTGCGGAGGAAAGGGAAGCTGCAGAGGGTGAAGAGCAGAATTGAAGTGTGGTGGTTTTTTAGTCTGTGGTTTTGCTTGTTTATTATGAGAGATCTTTATTATTCTTTGCTGTTGATTATAGGTGTAGGCTTTGAGTAATTGTTGCCCACACGATCTTGATAAACATTTTTAGGAGCTTAGATTCAAAGTCACTTTTCTAGTCGAGATCAAATTTTGTGATATTAGCTTTGGCTTTTGATTCGGTGTATGCTGGTATTTTATGTTACCTTTTTCATATTCTTGGTTCTACCTTTTTCATATTCTTGGTTAATAATCTTTGTGATTTATGGACGTGTCATGATTCATTTTATTTTTTGCCTGCCAAAATATGATCATAGAAAACGTGGGACATTATCAATTCACATCCTTTCTCCTGAGCAGTTCATTACTAATCGTTAGGGAAATAAATTCGGAAGTTATGTATGGAGTTTAAAATCTCGTTCATTTCGCTGATTCGAGTTTAGAATTCGAGTTTTGCTACAGTAAAAAGCTCTTAGAAACAGTCACATCTAACTTTTTTGTTACAGTAAAAAGCTCTCACACAACATCACATCTCAACTCGAATTAAAAACTCGAATTAGCGAACCGAACGGGCCCTAAATGTCTATTGCACGAAAATATGAGGAAAAATATTCACATAAATAGCTCTTTCGAATTTTGTTTCTTGGAAAATTACAAGTTATTGTTAGGGGATTCGCAAAATTGTGATTCTCATACTAGGATAGAGGATAATAAATGGAGGCCATATTTACTAGCTCAAAACTGGGGATTTGATTCCGTATCTGGTCATATTTTTTCAATATTTTATAGCTAGATACTTGGTTAATTCGCATATAAGCTCTTGGACCATTATATTAACTACATTTATTCATTATATGGACACAAAATTCTTAACAAAGTTTGGATCCTCGACAATTGAAACGGTTTCATCAACAAATAACTCCATTTCTTACCAATGTAAAACCAAAACAGAACTTTTCACCAGCACTGTATTGACATCTAAATTGACATATCAACTCAAGATCCAACCTTTCTCATAAATCAAGAAGTGCGTAAATAAATAAAAAATGTGCTTATTTTGGTATTACATTTACACTAGCTCTTTTTTCTCTATCATTACCCTCTTGCATGCCTCATAGCACATGAAAGATATCCCAGCAGCAGGCACCAACTTCATGCAGCTAGGTCCTAATCCTCTATACAGGCCCGGAATTCCTTCCCTTTCGAGTATGCTCACAAGCGCGTGAAGCATGTTCTTGTACTGCCTCCCGCTGAAAGCTCCAGCCTGAATTTGCTTCCGTGCCACCTCGAGTGGGAAAGTTGCACAACTTGAAACCACAGCAGCAGCTGAACCCATCAAGAGGGTGGTCACATTTCCAATTTCATCCTGATTGAAGGCTTTCTTGTAAGCTTTTCTCAGTGTGTCGTAAGCAAAATAGTTGGTGGCAGCATAAGGGATTACTCCAATCAGACTTGGGATTAGTCCTCTATATAGCTCCGCAGCTCCCTCCTCTCCGGCGATCTTCATTAAAGCGTGTAATGAGTTCTTGTACACTCCTCTCTGAAAACGGCATGACAAGGATCAGTGATGATTTTGGAGGGATATAAAATTGGTAAAATTTGCAGTTTTGGGACTGATCAAGAGCTTACTTGGACGGTTAGTCTGGTTTTTAGCAGCTCAAGTGGGTAAGTACAGAAAGTTGAGCTGAATCCAGCAACAGCGCCAGCAATCAATGAGGCAGGGACAAGGATTTTGTTGTTTTCTCCGAGTTTTGGAGTCAAGTACTTCTTAACCGTATCATACGCAAATAACTGCACAGAGAAACCACTCAAATTAGATTTTGAATATATATATATATATATATATATATATATATATATAGATGTATATGTACACACACACACACACACATATATATATATATATATTGCAAGCTACAATGGTTATTATACTGCTCAAAGAAATCCCAGGTGAGTATAGCAAGTTGGTTAGTTTTTGACAAGGATTAACAATAAAAAGAATATTAAGCGATGGAACAAAAGTGACATAGAAAAGGAGGTTTTGGTCAAATGAATCATCTAGTCAGGAGTAAACATTCAAATATGTTAATATGGCAATATCATCCAAGTACACAAATAGATAAAGAGTCTTGAATTCACACCTCAATTGCCTTGTTTGGCGCAACTCTAATCACATTAACCAGGTTGCCTCTATACAAGCCTTTCCATCCTTCAGTTTTCATGATAGATTGGAACACTTCAGCCGCGGATTGTCCGCAGCTTCCCACCATCAAATGCGTCTTTATTGTCTCCAACGGTGCAACTGCACTGCGTGACACCGCGCCTGCGATGCCTCCACTCATCAATCTCCTTAGTGAGTCATTCCCAATCTTCATTCTCAGTTTCAGGCCATCTCCTTTCTTTCTTTTCACCGTCACCTTCTCTTCTCCAACTTCCAATGCTTTTCCTCTCTCCAACTCCGGCGCCAGTCTAATTTGATAACCGGATTCATGAATAGTGACATACTTCATGTATGACTTGGCATTTGGAAGTTTCACTCTGCTGCCACTGGGATTTTGAGGATTTAGTGAAATCCCGAATTCCATTCCCACTTGACCAACGCTTGCGAATAAGCCACCGGTGCTGTAACTCCTCTCATCAGAACTCAATTGATGAATGTTAATCACACAGCTAGAGAATGTTACATCTTTGTTCCCATGTTCAACATCTGTAGATTTTCTTCTACCCATTAGTCCCAAGCTTGAAATCGAGCTATTTTCTTCGGTTCCCAATCTATTCAGAACAACTTTTAGTCTGCATAATCATATAAAGTTTAAGCCAAGAATCCCTTTGTTTGGACGGCAATGAACTATGGAAAACAAAGAATCTTTGCGGAATATGAGCACATAAAACCTACTAGAATAGAAAATAGAATACGAGGGTACAAAATATATTATATAAACAAAGAGATTACCACATGGTCATGACGAATAAAGCCACAAAACACCCTCTATTTCTCCATCCCTCTCTCTCTCTATCTCTCTCTCTCCGGAGTCATTGAAGAGTAGAGAAGGGATGGCATAATCTTCAAAGTTATGCTTTCTGCATACTTTTGCTCCCTTTTTTTCCCTCTTGGGTATGACAAAGTGCCAATTAGAAGCTACTTTCTTAAGGCTCAAGTGGTTGAAAGTTGAGCAACATTTTTTTGATAGTTTTTGCGAGCTAGTATTTTGAGGCTGAAAATGGCACCAATTTTTAGAAGTCTTTAGATATGCCAATTGTCATACGTGTACATTACACATATTTGAGAAAGCAAATATGCTGAATGAGTGGTAGTTTTAGCATTGTCGTAGACTTGAAAATCAGACGAAAATATCCAATTCATAGATTGTTAGGTTAGAAATTTTCTCCTTTTAGTTAAGCACTACTTTGGCAATTGGAGCCACAAGAATGAGATAAAACGGATATTTTGTCGTTAACCTCATGTGAACTTTGCCCAAGAGGGTTCTCCAAAATGATTTTGTGCAAGAGACAAAATGAGATCTTTTTTTCTTGCATTCTTTTGAGGAGCTCTTTTATCACCACAGATTAATAAATTAAGAAGTGCTAACATCACTTTTTTTGTTACTCTTTATCACTCTCTGCCTCCACTTTTTGACATGTGAACTCCATTATCCTATTTTCTGTTTAAATAATAATGTATCATGTTATTAAAGTCCACGTGTCAAACAGTAAATGCATAAAGTGAAAAAGAAAGTAATAAAAAATGCAATAATAGTACTTCTCTAACAAATTAAAGGCAACTTGACTACTTCAATGGACTGAGTTGAACCAAGACCTACTAGGAAAGTGACTTGGAATGCATTTTGATTCTCATACCCATTGAAAGAGTGTGTTACATTCACTAGGGAAAAAGCAAAGGATGTCAATTTTCATCTTATTGGAATGATTTGAGACCAAATTGGAGATTTATGCATAGCCTAATGGCCCCACTTCTCCAGATACACCCTGAACTTTTCAAGTTTGGAAAGTAACTCTAAATTTTTTATGTCCCCCGAATTTAACAAAATATTTGAGTGCCCCCAAATTGATAAAATAGATGTTGTAATTTGAACAGAACACTTACATGAGGACATCGTTAGAGGAAGAAACTGAAATTTCAAATGACGATCAGAGCATACGCCTATATCATTTGCATAAGACATTGGTTAGGTCATCCCTTGACTTGTCACCGAATTTAAGTATGTGCACGCGCACTGAGAAACTAATAGACTGAAAATAATTTTTTGCTTTAAAGAAAATAGGAAAAAAAACAAAAAGAACCAGCTTCCTTCAGGTAATCTAAGCGTGTCCCAAAATTGTACAAGGTTACACCTGTTGTTACTATAAACTAGCTTCACTTAGCCTTGCCTTTCTTTGAAGAACCCTTATTTAATGGTTTCTTCTTAAGTGTCTTCTTTGGTTTCAACTTGCTTGAGCTTGGTGAAGATTTGCCTTCTTTATTTTTCCGTTTCTTCTCTTTCTTCACATTGTACATGTTGACCGCCTGTTTTTTAAATAATCAAATGAGAGGAAAATTCAACATGACCAAGAAAAGATGAATAAACCGCGATAGAAAAAGAATCGAACCTTGTTAACGTTGAGCATCTCATGGGAATTCTTAGAGAATAGCTTGTTCAGGACTTTCTCTGTTTGCGCTCTCTCTTGTGAGCCCATCCCTTTTCCTTCTACAACCGGTAGAAACTGAAACAAATAACAAAAACCAAATTAAGCATAAAATGAGAAAGAAAAACAAACATACATATCAAAGCGTGTACATGATAGGACGGGTGTACCGACCTTGCGATATTTTCCTTTGTGTTTAGCGGGCTTTTCACCTGGCAGTTTCTTGTCAAACTTTCCCCCGCTAGCTGTTGAGGTTGCTGCCATTCCAGCCACATTCCCGAGTTCCTCTTTCGTAACCTTCTTGGGTACAACCTGGCTTCCGGTTATAGGCAAAGCTGTAGCAGCTAATTGAACATGGCTGCACAAAAAAGTTTATTGTTAAGGACTCCATTGATTACTTTTTCCTATTTCTGTATGTGAGTAAATTCATGTATCTGTGCATATATCCCTAAATTTTTAGTTCTCACACACCACGCCAATAAGAGTTGTGATTTTCTTTTATTCAAAGAATTTAAGAAAATGAAAATAATATTAATAATAATACTAATAATAACAATAATAAGCAGCCCTCTGGTGACTTGCAAGCAGTTTTGTCCTTTCAAGAAAAAATTTAAAATGGAAAAGACATTTTCCACATTTGAATAAAATTGAATTTCAGATCAATATGAACAAGTAAAGAATTTAGTAAAGGCATCGACAGAAATATGAAGAAAATATTATATTTTTTTCTTTAAAAAATAAGGAGAAAAGTCAAAAGCTTAAAAAGACAGCCTCCAAGTAAAATTAATCATAAATTTGATCATGCGAAGAAGTAATAGAAGGATTAAACCTTGGCAAAGCACCAGCTTTGGCCGCTTCTTTCAGATTCTGCGACCTATTTTTCTCTTGCTTTTCAATTTTTTTCTTTTTGTCTGCGCGTTTTTTAGCAAAAGGATCTTCCCCTGGTTCTGCAGAAATTGCAAGCATCACTCATTTAGAATGATTGTTGATATAACATATCAACATACTGCAGTATTTTTACAAGTCAAAGGTCCATGAAAGAGGTGGGGGTTAGGGGGTGGGTGGGTGGGTTGGTTATGGGGGACTTGACTTACCATCAGTAATCTTTGCATCGATTATTGGTACTTTATCTTCATCATTTGCACGATCATAACCGTAACGGCGTTTCCAAGTACCAGTCTGCTCATCGTAAACAATCTTATCCTTCTTTCGATTCTTTATACCTGCAAATAAAACTCAAATTAACAAACATACAAATATCTTCAAGCTGCAATATCAAATAGATATTAAATCTGCATAGATTTATGATCTAAAGGCCCAAGAGCCTAAATCTAACAAATTTCAACTAGAGCTTTTATTGCATTTATCGGGAAAGGAAGGCCCCTTGGCCATATATCAATATACAATCAGCGGACAACAGTAAATGACACTAACCTCTGGCTTTTGCAAATACTTCCCATTTTGTTGGAGGCTTAGGCTTTGGTAGCTGTATAGAATAAGAAACAAGATAGGCAGTTCAGTTCTGTGCTTAAATATAAAAAACGAAACAACAATTACAATATGACATCAGGGGGGAGTCAAAACAAAAGTCAAACCCCTTTCCATGGTTTTAAAAAGCGCCAGAGGCGCATGCCTTGAGGCGCGCCTCGTGGCGAGGCGCTGGAAAAGCGCCTCAACTCCTACGCCTTACAGGGTAGGTGTTGAGGCGTGCACCTTAGCCACTTGAGGCGCACGCCTTTGAGTGGCGCCTCAGGTGGTTAGTGAGGCGTCCTCTTCTGGTGGGTTATTTTAACATGCTGGCCCAAAAGTTTTAAAAAGTCCAAAGTACCTAGGCCCTTAATGACTAAGGAAAACCCTAATAACAAAAGAAGCAGCCAGCCACTTGCACAGCCGTCTCTCCTCCTCCTCCTTCTTCTTCCTCGCACGGGCAAACACTCTTCTTCTTCTCTTAGTAGTGATGATGATTGATGAGTTGGGAGATTAGGCCTTTAGAATTGCATTATGAACCTTGTGATATTAGGGTTTGATAATTTTTTAGTCTTTTTTACGCTTCTAGTAGTGAAATAGACTTCTCTTTATGTGGATGTTTGGTTAAATTTCTTGTTTTTAATGATTATTAAGTATGGATTTAGTTTTGGTCAGTATTATTTTTTTTTCCTAAATTTTTTATAGGCATTTTTTGAGGCTTACGCCTCACCTCGTAAAGGCAAAACGCCTCGAGGCCCAATTCCGCCTTTTAAAACCTTGCCCCTTACATGATTTCGAACCTACTCTTAGTCTAAGAGCCCGTTCAGCAAATAGCTGCAAATAATTTGAACCAAAAAGTTCAAATGAACCAGCATTTGGCAAATATTTTTTAGGCTTGGTTCAAAGTTCAAACCCGTGATTTGATGTTTTATACCAAAAAAACCTCCCAATTCAAAGTTTACCCCTCCTTGTTTTCATTGTTTTGAACCAAAAGTTCAAAATTAAAACCACTTTTGTAAAACTTTCCATTTCAAACCACAAAAGTTCAAAGTTCAACCCACCACGTTTTGAACCAACGAGGCCTAATAACAAGATTTTATGACCATGGATCATTTTTCCGTCCTCAACCTTTCTTCAATATCAATGTTCTTAGCATATAGTTCCATGAGACTCAAAATCAAGTTTCAGTGGGATAAACTTGGGCTCGGGCATCTTGTAAAAACATGATGGTAACTTAAAAAATTTGCACATTTGAAGAACAGGGAAATACAAAAATGGAGCCCGCATTAACCTTTAACCCCCATTTCCATCGAGAGTTATTAGTTTAGACAGATAAATATGTATTTTAGAAGGTCTAATTTAATACAAGATTTAAGCACCTCTCTTTTAACAAGAAACAGAAAATAAGTTATTCAATCAAAAGATGAAAATACAAATTTAAGCACCTATATGGAGAAGCTATCATATTTAACTACATGTACTCGGATGATATCTTAAGACTATAAAAAATTGGTATGTGAGACAATACTAAATAGCAGCGCAACTTACGGGCTTCTCCCTAGGCAACCGAGTCGTTGGGAGAGGCAACTTGACTAGGGGACCATCTACATCCACAGTAGAAGGTAAGTTGAAAAGCGTATTGGCAATAGCTTGAACTAACTCGGTTCCTCTCTTTAGGCACTCCTTCACCAACTCCTCCCTAAGATTGATGGAATATGAAATAAAAATAAATATATAAATAAAGATTGTAATTCAAGAAAGGATCTCCCTAGTCCCTAAATAGATAAGCACCGAACAAGCATCACAAGGATGTATTGAGTTACCAAGAATCTCACACAACTTACAGAAAATCACACGCATTATTAAACTAGAATCTAGAACTGCAGTATCAGAAATATGCAAAATGCAAACACTAAAGTAAAAATAGGTGACAAACTAGAAAACTCGCAATAAACTAGCCAGTACTTTTACAAGGCATAAAGAGCTATTACCTATTTCATACAAACAAGAAGGTAAAAAATAAGACATTTCACAAGACAACCAATGAGCTACTACTACTTTATTCCCGTTGCACACTATTCTACTAAGTTTTGTTCCAAACCCAAATCCAGATGGCAAAACAAAACCAAACATTAAACTACTTTATAGGAAATTTGTTGGTAAAATCAGAATACTTGATGATTTTAGTTCCAACCTTTATCAGCATATAATTTAACTCCAAACTTAAACCAAAAGATTTAATTTCTCAGAATGTGGTCATAGCCATATTATAAAATATCAAAAAGAAAAAAGAAATTATTCAACAAACACCAAAAGGGAAAATAAGTAAATTCATAAATACCCATCATCGCAAATATAACAAAAATTAGAAAAGGAATCAGGAACATTTCGTATCACCAACATTTAAACTGGTTTAAAAAAATGTTCAACGGAGCAAGGAGAGTTGACAAAAAAAAAAAAAAAAAAAAACTCTTAACCAAAAAAAAGTTCTTGAAATCAAAACCAAAGCTACATATATGCACAGAGAAATAAAAATGAACAAGTGAAAAAAACATCAAATAAGCAAAAGAAAAACAAATAAAAACCAAAAAAATTAAAAAAAAAAAAAAAACCTGGAAGAGGGAGGGGAAGGAAAGTTGTGATGAAGGTCGAAGGCCATGAGGTTGCCAAGCTCAATCTGAAATTGAGGCTCAGTCTCCATCTTCACGAGCTTTTCCTTGCCTTCTTCAATGGTGAAGCAAGGAACGGAACAAAACCTAAAGGAAACTAACACGACGACGTTTATCTTTTCGTTATTCCTCAGCTGCAAATTGATGAATCAATTTCGGAAATGGATATTTACCATTTTATACCCTTGTGTTTTGGATTATTTAAAAACTATACTTTTAATTTTTTATCTCATAAAAAATAGAAAAAAAAACAGAGAAAGTTATAAAATTTACTTTTAAAAATGTACAAATCAAAATTTTTACTCTTTATTTTTAATTATTATCCTTTTCTCAGTATAGTTATTCAACTAAGAAAGTTATTAATAAAAAATAATGAGTAAAAATCCTAATTAATGCATTTTTAAAAGATATTTGGATCTTTTTTCCTATCAGATATATGTCTTTAAATTGGATTTAGTACACAAATATATACCTCTCCTAGATCAACCCTTGATTTAAACATTAAAAATACATAAAACCACCTTGAATAAAAATGGTAAATGAAAAAAAAACAAAAAAAATTTAAACTTACAGTTTTGACTTGAAAAATATGCAAAATACCTTGAAGTGGGTTTTTTGTGTTTTTTTATTTTCATCTTTTGTAATATTGAAAAGTTTTAGTTTTCTTGTTTCTCTTTTTCGCAAGGATAGTTTAGTCATTTTAAATGTCAAAATCAGTTGTTGATCAAGATAGGTATAGATTTCTATAGTAAATTTAATTTAAAGGTATACATTTGATGAAATAAAAAAACGAACATATAGTTTTTGAATAAACTAAAAATACAAGATATAAAAATATAAATATTCCTTTTAGAATGATTTTTAAACTTTAGGGATGGTCCCATTTTTACCCTTTACGCTTTTAACTTTTTTCAATTTTACATATTTGGTTCACAGGTTAGAGTTATAGTGATTTGAACATTTTAATGAGATAAATACTTCTTAAAGTGTATGAGTCTAAATTTTTACCTCCTACTCTTGATTAATATTCTTTTCAGTCAAATAATTATATTAATCAAAATAATATTAATAAAAAATAAATGGTAAAAATCTAGTCTCAATTCAGCAACTTTCTCTCTTTTGTTTGAATTGTAAAATATGAGAACGTAAATTTTAGAGGTGGAGACTTTAACACTGTAACAAATAGGTGTGGATTAGGTGGATTTAAGAGTTTGGGGGTAATTCTAGAGGCATCATTCATTTCACCAATTCGAGTTTTCAGTTTTAGGATTTTGTTAAAAGCTCTCAGAAAATGTCATATCTAACTTTTTCTACTACAGTTAAAAGCTCTAAGAAAATGTCACATCTCAGGTCGAATTGAAAATTTGAATCCGTGAAGTGAACTAGGCCAAAATAATTAGTAATCAACGGTAATTTAAATAAATTTACTTAAAATAACTTGGCAAACAACAACTTGAGTTAGATTCATGGGTTCATCCATGTGATCAAATTGATTGAACCTATGTATTGAACCGTTTATTTTATTAATTCAAGTTTTTAACTCAAAAAATAAAAAATTTAAAATTTTTTAAAAGAAAATATTATAATAAAAACTTGTAATTAAAGTCAACCAAACGAATAGAGAAGCTATTCCAAACACACTTTGCGGACTTTCTTTAGGTAATGGGATGACCTAAACTCCATTACCAAAAAGCAAACAATCAAAAAACAAAAACAAAAAAAGAATATAAATGAAAAAAAAAAAAAGGAAATATAAAACCTAGCCTCTCTCTGTAACTGAAAATAAAACCTCATTTCATTTATCAAGTTTTAACCTCCGTATGTACCTAAAATTAATTCAAAAGGAACGAAGTGAGGGAAGAACTAAAAGTGATTTTTTCTAGGAGAGAGAGGAGCTTTTTTTTCCTGAAAAATTGATTTTTTAAGATAATACAACTTAGTTTTTTTGTCAAATTACAACTTAATTGTTTTTTTCGCTAGAAATATGACAACTTAATTGTTACATTGTAGACATTTCACAAGATTTTTCTCTTGGAAATCTATTTAAAATTTTAAATTCGCTTTACTCACTCGTGTATTATTTTATTCTCGTTTGCTAGTGTAAAATCCATAAAAATCATGAATCGCTTGGAAAAAAAAGATAATTAGTATTGTTAATTCCTACATTTTGATTCTTTAACTTTTAATTTTGACATATTATTTTATGAAATTTGTCTTTTTTTTAACAATTTTAGTCTCTCACAATAAAAAAGAGTTCTAAAATTTAATAAAGATGATATGTCAATTGCTTGATAACTTAAAATGTTACGGAAAGATTTACGTTATATTTAAAATCTCTTTTATTATTATTAAAATATGTTATAATTATATAAAAAAGTTGATAGACTAAAATATTACTATGCTATAAATTTGTTCTTTTACATTTTTGAGTTATGGTGACTTGAATGATGATTTTGAGTTGAGTTTGAGTTATAACTTGAGTTGAAATTGTAATTTGAGTTTGTGTTTGGATGTGCACATTTGAGTTATGATTTGAATTGAAAATCTTTTTGAATTTGTGTTTAGGTGGGTCAAAATTTAAATTTGTATTTAGATAGTATTTTAATAAAGACTCAATGGTGATGAAAAATGTTAATAGGGTATATAGGTTGAGTTTTATTCGTCTTTTTGTTGTGAATGCATAGAAAAAAATTATCTCAATCAGAATTAAAATGAAAAAGTTATGATATTTTTAAAAATAAAAAAATATTGTTCATTAACTTGAGTTTGAGTTTATGAACTCGAGTTGAAGGAAAAACTTGAACTCAAGTTTAACCTCAAATTCGAGTTCAAACTTAAATTTTATAAAAAAAAAATATATATATATATATATATATATGAACTTAAATAAAGTTATAACTCAAATTAAAATTTTTTTTTTTAGTTTTATTGTAAAAGAACAATAACTTATAAACTAATAAAATTTATAATTTAAGTCTCAACTTAAATTTTTTTATGTCAAAACAAATTTTGTAAAAAAATTAAATTTAAATTTTTATGAGAAAAAAATATAATAATAAAATAAATAAATAAAAAGTGTAAAATGTGTAATGTGTTTGTCTCACCGGTAAATGACTCGAAAGGAAAGAGTATTATAAACTCCAACCAGTCACGGTGTCAGGGAAAAGAAAAAAATAAAAATAAAGCCTAAAAAATTCTACGATGAATAAAATAAAAATACGAAAATATTATTCATAGTACAAACCCCCAAAATCCCATCTTTCTCTGCCCCAAATCCCCCACAATGAAACCCTAATTCGATCAATCTTTACTTTCAGACGAAATCTTCTCACCAAACCTCTCATCAAGATCAATCTCAATCGTAAGTTCAATTTTTCCACCAAAATTTCCTCTCGATTGGAAGCAATCTACAAATTACCGATCAGAAGTTCAATTTTTCCAATTTTAACATCGAATTTTTCTCTGTTGATGAGTAGGTTCTGATAATTCTCAGTTTTTCTTCTTCACCGCTAGTTTTCTAGGGCTTTTTTGGGGGGGATTTTCCGTTGTTTTCTCGCTGTTTTCGACATGGATGGGAACAAAGACGACGCTTTAAAGTGCCTCAAAATCGGAAAATATGCTTTGGAATCCGGCGATCGAGCTCGCGCGTTGAAATTCATCACCAAAGCTCAGCGCCTCGACCCGACGCTTCCCATCGACGATCTCTTATCGGCGATCGAGAAAGATTCCGTCGACGGAGCGCCGAAAGACACCGACTTGTCATCCAACGGTCATCCTTCCGATTCGCCTTCGTCTAAGCCATCCGATCAACCCTCGCTTCGCCACCGGGTTCCGACGACCGGTGCTTCATCGTCGTCCGTTGCGGCGGCTTACACCGAGGAACAGATCGCGATCGTGAGGCAGATTAAGAAGAAGAAGGATTATTACGAGATTCTAGGGTTAGAGAAGAGTTGCATTGTTGAAGACGTGAGAAAGGCGTATAGAAAGCTGTCTCTTAAGGTTCATCCCGATAAGAACAAAGCGCCCGGAGCCGAGGAAGCTTTCAAGGCGGTTTCGAAGGCGTTTCAGTGTCTAAGCAATGAAGAGAATCGGAAAAAGTACGATCTCGTCGGCTCCGATGAGCCGGTCTACGAGAGACGCACGACGAGGCACGCCGCGAATGGATTCAACGGCGGGTTCTATGATGCCGAGTTTGACGCAGACGAGATTTTCAGGAATTTCTTCTTCGGCGGAATGGCTCCAGCGACGCAGTTCCGCGGGTTCAGCTTCGGGACTGGAATGGGGCCGAGGCCGGCCGACCATCACCACGGCTCCGGCGTCAACCTCAGGGCATTGATTCAGATCCTGCCGGTTCTGCTGATTCTGCTGCTCAACTTCTTGCCGTCTTCGGATCCCATTTACGCACTTTCGAGATCGTATCCTTATGAGTACAAGTTCACGACGGAAAAGGGTGTTAATTTCTATGTTAAGTCGACAAAATTCGAGGAGGATTATCTGGTGGGAAGTCGTGAACGAGCTAATATAGAACATCAGGTTGAGAGAGAGTACTTTAACATTCTTTCTCAGAATTGCCAGCTCGAGATTCAGCGTCGTCAATGGGGTTTCATACGCGAGACGCCACACTGCGACATGTTGCGGCAGTTCAAGTCGAAGGCGTACTGACTTGAATAGAGGTCAAATTTCTTTTGTTCCTGCTATATTTTGATGTAAAATTGTTCCCCTCTTGTTAGGGGAAAATATTACTTAAGCAATTCATAATAAGTGATTTTGCTCTCTTTGTTTCTATAGATATAGTGAGCATGGTTATACTCTAATGTAAGATTGCTTTGTTACTAATTAGTAATTACTAGCTTTTTGCTCCTTATTTTATCAGATACAAAGAGATTGTGTCTAATGCTATCTCCAACGTGGATTATCTTTGTGTTTTATTTAAATGCTTGAGGATTGTAGGTTTTAATTACAAAAATAACGCTAATGCTCTGTTTTTGACGTGTAAAAACTGTTACTTTCGTTGGCTGTGTGAGAATTTATTAGCAGAATAGGGGGTTTTCATTGATTTGCAAGTTTCTTCATAAGGTGCCATCCATAACTACTATACAGCAAGTGTTCAGGTCATATTAGGCCCAGCACCAAAATATATTATCTGGGTATATACACTAAGGGAGCACATAACATGTTGAATTTGCACTTACTAATTATATTCCTGCCTTTCCATGTTTAGAGCCATATCATGTGAGAGTGTTATCTAAACGCTTTGGTAATTTTCATTTTTGTTTTAGTTGTGGCTAAATAAGTAAGATCTTGTGTTCAAAGTTGGCGCGTTTGTCTCTTGCAGAGTGCTTGTTCGGTGACATACTGAAAGTGGTTCAGTATTTTCTGTTCCGAAGAGTACACAAGGATCATGGAATTTGCACAAGAAATCAAGTATAATACTCGTGGTTTTTCTTTTTTCTATTCGTTTTTTCCCTGCTAAGAAATCCATTATAGTAGCTAGTTTTGGTTTAAAAAGATTGGCCTGCTACCTCTTCTATTTACTTCTTGCATGTTGCAACATATTTTTTTGTGAAAATGTCTAATTCAGCTTGGATGCTTGTTGCTGCAATAAATGTGTCCAAATATGAAATTTTGAGCCCTCCTATCGTTGAGTTCACAGGTTCTGCTGAATACCATATGAAGTTTTTGCCATAATCTCTCGTTGCTTGAATATATCTTTTGTGGTGAAGATAAATAGCCATATTGCATAGAATCCAGTTTTGCTTGGATTGAATGGATTATAAATATGCTTCATTTCTTCCAAGTTCATGATCAAGTTACTGATTAGGAGCGAATGCCATTTTAGTAAGTGAGCATAAAGATTTATGTCATTTCTTAAGTATTATTATAAGATTTCTGCTCTCACTTTCTTCCTTGAATTTAAGGACAAAAGTCGGACACCAAACTTAAGTTTTGCGTCAAGTGGGCACAATCCTTAATTTTCTCTCTTTTAAAATAAATGAAGATATGACTAGCAGGGGAAAAATGAAGATAGGTGGATTCTGTTGATTTGTAGAACCATGATTGCTCGAGTTCTTTGTTTGTGTTATTTTACCGGGAATTTATCCGGTGTTCCCACTCTTTTAGAAATATCAGTGTTCCGTTTTTATCAGCCGTCGGATATGTGTTATTTTTTCGACTGGCGGATAAGCAGTGAACACCAGTTTTCCCAAAATCTATATTTTATCAACTAATAATGGATTTAAACTCCTTGTCCAATTTTGGTGTCTTAATTGGTGTCTAATTAATCATATCATGTCACGTCATATAAAAAATTTGAATTGCTTTTTAATTAACTCTTTTGTGTTTATAATGAGATAACGTGGTGTGATTTAATTAGTTGAACATCAATTAGAACGTCAAAAATTAGACAGAGGATCTGGATCCACTAATAAAGCAAATGAATTATCATTTCTTTTATCAGTAAGATGAAGCTTTTCATAAACATTTTAGTAACATTCACTTGTTCAAGAATACAAATTCACTTACTATATCATTTACTCAAAAAGAAACTGAATAAATATTGGGGGTGTAGATTTATAGAATAAACTTGAGTGAGAAAGTTTAAAGTCAAGTGCTACCGTTCCATAGATTCCTTAATGTTTTTGTGATGTGCTACAATATATTTGTCAGTAAAATTGTCAAAGTTTGGTTAATCCTTGATATAATAACCAGCAATACCTATGCGCCTATGACTATGCTCTACAAACTCAAAATAGAAAATAGTTAGTGTACAATACATACTCCTGCCAAGCTGCAAAGAAAAACTCAGAAGTTTCACCCAATTTATGAGTTTTGAAAGTTTGCAGTGAAACTTATCTTGATGATAGGCTTTTCTGTCATGATGATCGTCAGCCAGCCAACATAAAGCAAGAACCTGGCGGATTGAGAACAACAGATGTCGTGACAAGTCTAAAGAGTAGAGATTCATAATTGAAACTGCACAAGATTGACTTCTAGAGAATTAGAATAAATTTATTCAAAAAAAAAAAAAAGCAAGCTCCCAACAGCTCTCTTCCCATGACATGGTGCCGTTCCAGCGATTTCTGGCCTTGAGGAACATGTCATTCCTGTCGTCATATGAGTAATTATCTCCTGAAAAGTTTAGCAAAAATGAGATTTGGATTGTTAAAAGTATTGAGCAAGCAGTAATTCACAATTTATTCCATGTATGATTTCCACCAAACTAAAATTTCTCCTTCCTTTCTTTTCCAATAAATTTGTGTTGAGATGTGAAGCAGATATAGTGCCTTTTTGTGAGGATATAAACTTCTCCAGTATTTTGTCGCTCATGAACCTGCGAATAAGTATAAGAAAAAAGTGGCTTTCATTAGGTTTTCAACACAAAAGACAGGCCAAAAAAAAAAAAGATCACGTGGTGGACAGGTAAGAAATATCTTACTTCATGAAAACACGCATCATTTTACGGTAGAATAGAGTATTTTAATATTGCAATTTTTTTTCTTTAAGTCTCATTAATTAAAAGGTTTGGAGGTCTTCTTTACTAAGACTCGAACTCAGAACATTCGATGGTATTATGACTCATGTTAAAGTGGTGCCTCGCCACTAGTTAGACTCATATAGGTTTTGATTTTGAGATATTTACTCACGTTTTTAGTAGATGTTATTACCAATCTCGGATTAAAAATGTGGTATTACCAAATTATCACCCTACAACATGCTTAGTGCTTGGATGAAAATGAAACATGTTGGATACGAAGCTGATTTCATTGATAGATTAAGGAGGGAGATTGTACTTTAAACAGGTATTCTCTTTATTGGCCAACCTTAGTTAAGACCCTTGGAACTCTTAACACAACAGAGAAGATAGATCACTAGAAAAGAGTTCAACTATTGCATATATAATACAAACTTGAAGAAGAAGAACCGTTTGAAACGGGGTTGAACCCACTTTCCAAACAAACTCGTTTTTTAGAGCTGAGTTATAGCTAAAATGAGTGCAAAATAAAATGTTGTTTTTTTTTTTTTGGCTGAGAAAAAGATGATTTCTTTCTAGGGAATAGAAAGTATTCATTTCTAAAGAAAACAAAGTCCAATGTCACATAAAGTAGGTGAAAAGTTTTTGCAAGAATTTAAAACAGACTGAAGAGGACAAACAAACAAACGGATAAACTCTGACTTCCTTGTTCGTCAATCTACCGCCCCGTGACTTTTTTGAAAGCAAGCTCCATTCAAAGCGGTCGTTAGACCTTGCGACACAGCCAGGTTTCCATTTATTGGATTTATTCCACAGGGATGACCCCACTCCTCACCTTGGCCAGAGGAGTTCCTCACAGCCAGTTTTCCATCAAGCTCAATCAAAAACGAACCGGCCCCGATCAGTCCCATGGGGCTCACCCCAAAAGGGGGTTTTCTCAATGGGCCACCATTTTCATGACATGTATGCCGTGCTGATGAATGCCTTGGGTCCTTTCTATCGGCATTTTCGGACTTACCGTTCTCAGGCATATTTGGAAGACAAAGATAGGGCGATGCAAGGCCGGGTCGATCCCTTGAATCCTAGTTTGAGATTACCCAGTACTCACCAGAAGTCTGCTGTGGTACCTCTTTCAAGATAGAGCTTGCTACTAAGCTAGCCCGGACGACCAAGTTTGATCAATGGATTCGCGCCTCTCCGATAAGATCATCTCCACGAGCTAAATCCCAAACTTGGAACGCACAGCATAAAAAGGAACCTTTTTTTTTTTCCCTCTGAAAGCCTAAAATGGAACTTACTTGTACATTAAACACAACAACTTCTCCAGCTCGTATGCGATCCTTGCTCATACGAAAAAAAAAAGTCACCCTGTACAGGGATTAAAAGGCCATATGTACAAACCAAATTGTAATTGTAAAGATGATAAAAGAAGAAGAAAAGTACTCCTTATACAGGTTAAAACAACCTGCAAAAAGAACTATTTGAATGCGCATGTATAGCTATTACAACAGAATGCTCAAGTAGAAAGATACGGCTAGTAAAACACCAATATCAAACTCCAGACAACCGTTCATTTTGCGCAACCTGTTTCGACACAATGTCCCGACATGAATCTTATAACGCGGACATAGGATAACCCCCCTTGTTTTAGCTTGATATAAGATTTTATATCATCTTATATGGTACGGTAAATGTAGGTTCTCTTATACATTTATCAGAACGTTAACATTCTACCAATATGATTTAAAAGTATCTTAATTTTTCTGGACATATTCGATACGAATATTATCCAACGATATTCTCATAAACTCACTCTGTCAATATTTTTGTCAATATCGACATTTTCATCCTTTCTTATTGGTTAAGTCAAACACGAACTACATTTAATGAAGTCAAGAATAAATCTGCTGCTTTGGACCATAATCTAGGGCCCTAAAAAATATCAAGCGTTTTTGGTGCGATCAAATAGCAACAAAGGAAAATAAAATAAAATAAATTACTCACCCTTGCAAAGGCAAGTTCCACGCTTTCAGAGAGGACAATGACTACAGGTGATTCAGTGCCAGTAATGCACCTTAACACCCTTTCCAGATTATAAATGCCGATGACACTGTTGAATATATTATATTTATGAAAGAATATATTATGTTTATGTCAAATATTATGTATTCAATTTTGTCAACTTTCTTGATTCTTTGTAATTGGCGGATTATTCTCCCTTAAATTAGTTAGTTACCCTATTTAAGTATCCTTTTGTACCTATAAAAGAGAACCCTCTCCTACAATTGAAATACAGAAAACATTTCACATATTTCTTGTCCTCTTTTATTTTCAACATGGTATCAAAGCCACTACGTTCCTTGGCCAAGAAAACATACCGTAGCCACGACCCACTATTTCTTCCTCTTCAATAGATGTCGACACCAGTCTCCTTTCTCTCAACAACAAGTTAGGCGACCATCATTATTGTTGCACACCTTTCTTCCATCTCGAACCCAGCCAACGTTTCGTTGCGCTTCATCCTCCAGCGCTGACCAAAGTCAAACGCCGTTGCATCGTACCCAATCAACGTTGACTACGCTGTCACTACCGACGCTCACTTGCAAGCCCGGCGTTGTGCTTTGTTCGCCATCCACATCCTCTTCCATCAGATGGAATAGAAGCTCGCCCTCACACTGCTCTTGTCTATAATCTGGTTCTACATCTCCTGTTTTCTCGTTCATTTATTTTGGTTCTGCAACGTTTTCTTTCAATCTTCTTAGTTAATTTAAATAGCCCGTTCGCTCTTCAGTATTCTTCCAAACGTTATTATTATTATATATATATATAATATTACAAACTTTAAAAAAAAACCAAAAAAAAAAAATGTCCAACGCCACCACCACTACCAATCCCATTCGTCCCATTGATACTACCCTTGGTGGGACCAATTACAACTAGTAGTCACAAAACATGACTATCTACCTGAAGGGAGTCTCTTAATGGCATACCGTTATCAATCAATCTAAAAAGTCAGTTCAAAATAAAGGTGAGGAAGAATCTGCTTTTCATACTCGACTTGACACTTGGGAGAGTACACAGTGCAAAATATTGTCATAGTTCATTAATACGTCTGCACCAGTCATTCAACCACTACTTGCCCGTCTAGAAAGTGCTCATGATGCTTGGGTGTTTTTGGCCAAGCGCTACAAATGCAATTGTAACGCCCCCAACGCTA